ACAGTTCTCTCGAAAATATCTTGATCAATCCTGATCAATCCTGCTTTCATAGTGAAAGTTAAATGTTTCTTGTGTTTTCTATGGATTAAAGGAAGCAGTGAGTTGGAATAATAATAGATGCCAGAGGAGAGAAGAAATGGGTTGTGGCACTGGAATTATGAGGGAAATATTTACATTGTTTTGGTCCGAATTTGCAGACTCATCAATGATTGGAGAAGAGGAGAGAGTACCTTTTATCAGACATGACTATAACAGAGAAACATGGCAAGCAGTTGCTAGAATTTTAGTTAAAGGGTTCACAGATTGCTCATACTTTCCATTGCGGCTCAGTAAGGTTTTCATGTGCAATGTATTTTACAACAAAGCTTTAGTGACGGTGCCCATATTGTTATCGTCATTAAAATGTTACGTTTCCAAGCATGAAGCAGAAATTGTGGAGCAAGCTTTATCAAAAGACATCCCTCTCGATAGTAAAGATCTAAAGGACTTCCTAAGCAATTTTGATTGCAGGAGAGTAGCAAGTCTTCATAACATCCATGACATTATGGAGTTGGCCCATAAGGAACTCATTCAAAGCCAAAGTATGTGTCAGATTGCTGGTCTGATATTATTGCCAAGTTAAAGCTCTATTTTCCTACCATTGAAAATCTTGTTGCATTTTACAAAAGTCATGAGCCAACAAATGCGAAAGTTGTTGATATGCTACACACAGATATTACCAACGATGGAGAGAGAGAGGCATTTAATCACTTGAAGAAATACGTTAGAGGTCTAGAGAAGAGCAAGTTATATGCATTCCCGAAGTTTGTCACAGCAGCAGATATAATAATTACTGATAAAATTCTAGTCAGTTTCAGTACAATTACTGGTGCTGCTCGTAGGCCCATCAGCCACACATGTGGATGTACACTTGAACTGCCCAGCACTTACGCAAATTTCTGTGAACTTAGAGAGGAATTTAGTAATATCCTTTTAGTGGACAGTTGGGAAATGAACATTGTTTAATACCATATGACATTCTTAAATATTAACAAGTAATTATTACTTTGTTATTTTGTTGGATATTGTTGTGTTCATTGTTAAAGCTTAATTTGTTGTCAAACAGTTTACATTTTTTCTGAAAGATGCACAGAATGCATTTTATGGTGCAGTGTGCCCTTACGAAAAAATCCTATAGGATCCTATAGGAATTCCTATAGGAAATGCCATTTCCTATAGGAATTCCTATAGGAATAGAATTCCTATAGGAATTTCCTATAGGAATTCCTATAGGATCCTATAGGAATAGATTTCCTATAGGAATTTCCTATAGGAATTCCTATAGGATCCTATAGGAATAGATTTCCTATAGGAACTGAATTCCTATAGGAATTCCTATAGAAATTTCCTATAGGAATTTCCTATAGGAATTTCCTATAGGAAATTCCTATAGGAATTTCCTATAGGAATTTCCTATAGGAATTTTTGATATTCGTATAGGAGGTTATATAGAATATAGAATCCTATTGCTGCTATTATATGTTTTTACTCTGTTTTTTTATAGCAAAATACAAAACAAGTGTAACTCCAAAGATCGATATCGATCTACATCGATATATATTGTTATCGATCTTTGGAGTTAAACTTGTTTTGTATTTTGCTAAAATACTCAGTGGTTATGTTTTTAGTATCAATGTGTTTAGCTAGCTAGGATTTCTATAATTCCTGATGGTCCCTAATGCAAGCATTTCCTATTGGAATTTTATCCCTAATAAGAATATAAGATACAGCCAATAGTTTGCGCTTCAACTGGATGCCCTGGTGACTAGTTTACGTTTCAGAGCGCAAAGCTTCATGGGATAGCATCGTTTTATTTGTGATAAAAAGTATTTGGTGTTATAATTTTGTGCTTGGAATATTTCGTTGATATTTTTAACCCAAACAGTGGAAAAGGAATCGGAAAGTTCTTAACATGTTATTCAGATGTCACAGGTAAGAATACTTTTGTATTTGACTTATTATTTAAGCTCTTTAATTGCAAAATAATGTGGTGAATATGATTGTTAACTTGAGCCATGTGGGCCATGTGTCTTAAAATTCCGTTGAATGTTTGAATTTGCCGCGTCAATTTGCATATAAAACACACAAAATGTTGGTTTCTGGCAGTAAAGAAAGAATGAAATATAAATTCGAACCTATTATTGTGAATTCTATACTAAATTTCACACTATTAGGCCATGGGAATGAAAGTCATAGAATACCGTCCACCGCCCGCATCGGTTTTAAGCCCCGCATAAAAAGTTTCATTATTTGCAATAAATTTCATTATTTGTTAGAAGATTCAAGTGAACGATATTTTTTTAAAACAAAGTAGTCGAATCGTGAATTTAAAGCTTAAAATCCGTTTGTATTACTCTTTGTCACACTTTGGATGATGTTATTTTGATGTTGTTGTCACACCAACCGCATACCAAACATACATAGGCTCAGAAATGGATTTTTCAATCTAAATTTTAAATTTACATGTGTTCCGTGTTCGAAGATGGAGTGTGCGGATATATTAAAATTGAATCTGGATGAATCTGGTAAGTTTTCTATTAAAGTTTATGTCCAGTTTTAAATATCTGATAAGTTTTTTTCTTATACAGTTTTATATGATTATTATAATGTTGTTTTGTTTAGAATTAAAATGAAATAATGGCTTCTAAAATACAAGTTGCAGTTCGTGTTTGTGAAGCGAACCGTATCGTATTGCCATGGAGATTTGTGCAGTTAAATCACACTTCTTACACCTATCAGCAGCTTTGGGCCGATATTATCCAAGGAGTGCATGGACAGCTTGATTTTGTTGATTTAAAGTGCAAACGCACAAGCTACGAATTCCAAAAAGCAACTGCATTCCTCTCTTTATCGCTTACAAATGGAATAGAAGGTGATGCACAGAATGATTTGATGGAAGTTGTTAATTTCTTCAACATGAGATTTTTTTCCATCAATATCAAACATGGCGACATAGACTGTGACGATTGTCGCCTCCATGCTGGCACTGCGAATCCACCTACTACAAATGCTTTTCAAGTGATGATGGCTGCTGCCAAAGAAGCTGCTATCATAGGTATTCCAAAGGTTTGTCCAGATCCCAAATGTAACCTAGATAAACTAAAGAATACAATTCTAACATACTTTCAAGAAAAGATGTGTATCTTCCCTGCCAATTGTGGAAAAGCAGCCACTGTATTTGTTGCTAGGCTTTCTGACTTTGTGTATTATCTTGATGGGCAATATTTCAAAATTGAAATGGAAATAAGCAAAGCAAAGAAATTTCCAGAAGTCTTTAAAAGGAAATTTAGTGGTTTTAACTGCCCAGAAAAGTCTAAGCATAGAAAACACGAGCTCAACAACCTCTCAGAAAAGAAGTTGGAAAGTCATGCCATTGCTATTAGAGAAGTTATACAGTCACTACAGTTCCTAGACAGCATACCATGGGCCGAGGTAAAGCAGGAAGTTCTTCAAATGGTTCAAGTTGTTGAGCAGTATTGCTTGCATCTCAGAGTGGACAATGTTAGGAACAAAGTATCGCGAGAAACCCCCCGCAGTGAAGTTGAAATTAGGGCCAATGTCACACTAATGAAAGTAAACAAGAGTCCAATTCATCCTGCTTTGAGTGGCCTTGACAAGCAGCTTTTAGATGTTCAACTCTATAGTCCCATATCTATCCGAGAGTTTCTACCTACCTGTGATAGACGGAGAGTTTATGAAATCATTCAGGAGTTGAAACAGAAAGGGCTGAAGTTCAAATGCATTCACTATGCTCATCAACCAGGTGGCAGCAAACAAGCCTTACACTTTGTGTGGAGAGTGGACGAGGCTAAATCAGAGGGAGAAACCATCGAAAGATGCCTGCAAGTGATCAAGAAAATAGAGGCAGAAATACCAGTTTATGAAAGACGAATAACCAAAAAGCACTTCATGCAGGCGTTTGGATTTGTTGTCAAGCCAGTTGCCCTTCGAGCTATATTTCGAGAGTTGAAAGGTGATCAGTCTGCCCCAGCAAACCTAAGCGAGAGGGAGTTAGACAGTCGCTTTCAGTATGCAATGCAATGTGAAGATGCTGGAATTCTTGTTGATCTCAGGAACCAGTCACCTGAAAAGAAAAAGGATACTTTCAAGGAGTTTTTTGCAGAAACCGAGAGATATTTGGCAGAAGATATTGGTGTGGCCTGTCATGAAAGGCGTCATGGTGAGCAATTATACCTTGCCAAAGCAGTCAGCATCAAAGATCTCCATGAAAGAATTAAAGAAAGAGTACCACCAGGGACCAATGTGCCATCAGTTAAGTGGTTGCGTTATCAGTTCCAGCCAATCAATCCAAGGGCCAACACAGCAAAGTATTACAAAGGGATCATTAATGTCAAAATGATGGTACAAAAGAGACAGGTAATGTAAAACCTATGTTGCTACTGAAAACGTCCATTGACGTTTTCATGTGACAGTTTGATAAACAAAAACATTGCTTAATATCACTACTCCAGAATTTGACTGTGTTGTTTTGACCTTCAGAATTCCAGGAAAGTATAAATTTTGCTGCATTTTTGCCTTAAAAATTTTTTTTTCACTTTAAAAATTACTTCTAAAAATCTAGAAATTCTTTCAACTCCCTTCATGTCCTTAAAAAGAAACGATTGGTACTGTAGTATATATTTTAAACAATCAATCAAAACTTTATTTAGGCACGGTAAAATCTACACTATAACATAAATAACATTTTATAGTAACAATTAATTAACATAACTAAAATATAACTTACACTTATAGGACAAATATACGGAGAACATTTAAATTGAGACTTTTACATTTACAATACTATATACTACATACTGATTTCCAAGATTGCCGTGCACGAGTCCGTTTCAAGTAGAAAATAAGATATCAATTTCTCTTTTAAATTGACTAAGAGAGCATACTGAACATACATTTTGAGGTATCTCATTCCACAACACTGCACCGCTATTTCTATTTCTTGTACTATATGTCAATTTCGGTTTGGATGTTGCCCTATTAAATGAAAGCGTTCTCAATATTTCCTTTCCAGATTAGAGTAAATCATGTGGATGCACATTATTGTTCAGCTGCTTGGCGGTACATGCGTGAGTTTGCAATTACCCACAGAGATATGACAACATTGGTCAGCATGGACGACAAGCACAAATGTAAGGTTGGGGAGCCCTTGTATCCATTGGCAGCAGCTGAAAGAGGGAAGCAGGTTATCGTTGGAGCTAACCAGGTGATGGCTGTTGGGGACCATGACTTCAGCAAATGTACTTTGACTCCATCAGTTAACTTGGTGGTGAGTTGCTAATGTATAAAACAAGTAGATGCATTATCTATTGTCTGTTCAGTTATTAAAAAAGATGGCCAGAAAATATCACAATGTGGTAGAACTTACCATTTCGAGATGTTCTTACCATGATGTGACATTATCTGTGCATCAACATCTGACCAGACAACAACAAAAAATGGATCTATTTTGTAAATATTTTACAGATTGATATTCCTCAAACAATATCTGGTAGCTTCTACAGGGGCGATGTTTATGTTGGGTTCAAGGATTCAATATTAAAGCCTTCTTCCCCATTGCGCCACGCAACTGAACTGGCAGAAATTCTGAAGCTAAGAGGAAGTAGGTTCTATATGTGGAAATAAATTATGTTTTTGCATGATATGCTTTTAAGTTCTATTGCAATTCTTTGTTATGGTTTTAAATTAATTCACAGGTAACTAGTCCAACAAGGCAACAAACAATGGCCAGTGTAATTTAGTATAGTCTGTTTAAGAGTCATTTAAGAGTCTATTTTACTGTAGCTGTCCATCCTGTCCTACTGCTATACACTGATGGAGGGCCTGATCACCGAACCACGTACATGTCGGTGAAACTGTCCATGATAGCATTGTTCAGGTCTCTGGACCTTGATATGTTGGTTGCCTTAAGGACAGCTCCCAGTAACTCGTGGGCAAATCCTGTAGAGAGAATAATGAGTATTGTGAATACTGGTCTACAAGGTATTGGCCTTATGCGTCAGAAAATGGGTGACAACTTTGAAAAAGCAATAGGTGTGTAGATGTTTCACATTTGTACAACAAAAATTATCACAACAGATATTTTTTTCTAACCAATCAAATATTTTAATATATTTCAGCTAATGCGAAAAGTGTCAAAGAGATGAGGGAAAAGTTGGCAACGGATGACCTCAAGAAAGAGCTAGGTGAATCGTTGTCATTTCCAATTGATCTTCTCAACAGCCAGATGAACAGATTAAGTCTGAAGGAAAAGAAGTTCCAGACCTTTACTCCAGCTTCAGAAGAAGAGATCAACACGCTGTGGGAAAAATGCCTGGAAATTGAGAAAGGGTTACAGGTATACAGTAGTAGTAGGTAGTAGGGGTGGAACATAAAAAAATTACCTGAATGAATACTGTGTGAGGTTTGTCATTTGTTTATGCTTTTTTCACATTTATGTGTAGCGCGACCATTTAACCATGAAGGATGTAAAGGACTTTGAACACCTTAAAGCTTTCCTCAAGCACTGCTGCATTGAGGGACATTATTGCTTCCAGGTGAAGAAGTGTGGTAATGATAACTGCAAAATCTGCAGGTACTGTATGAAGAATATCGAAATTCTATACATATGAATGTACAGTATAATACATTTGAATCTTTCAATATAACAATGTATAACAAATAAACAATAAACATTACAGGTACAGTGTATGTTGTTGGCCCGTTGCACAAATAATTGTATAAAATTGAGCTAGTTGATTATAAGTGTAACCAATTTTAGACCGTTACGGGACAAACGGAGCAAAGATGTGAGTTCCTTACCTTTCCCAGTTCCAGCTGGTGATGGTCATTATCGCCCGTTTGAGGAAGTCTAGGAAGAGGTATTTTAAGTATTTCTATAGAGTACCGGTATACCAACTATTATGTAATATTAATCATACATTCATGTTGAATTATTTGTTTCTTTGTAATAGAACCGGCCAAGTAAAGTAACAAGACCCAAGACTACCAGGGCAAAACTACCTTTCTCGCCATCTGTACAACATGCGCAGAATACAGATGTCATGGTGCAATGCACTGAGTGTGAGAAATGGCGGCTTGTCTTTGCAAAAAAGAAGCTAACGAAGAGACAGAAGCAGCAGCTGACAGATCTTCTGGAAGATATGGATTACACTTGTGGTTTTCAATTTGGTGAGAATAATTTTGTGAATTAGTCAGCATGCATTTATATTTGTTTGTAACCTTTGTGATTTTATGAGGGTAGAGAAGATCATTGTTGGATCAGAGACAATATAACTGTACATATATACTATTCCTATCGTTTTAGATGATATACTTCTTCCTCATGGGCTTCAAGTCCACATTAAAGACCATGACTGCGAAGATAACATAGAAAAGCTGTACTATGCTTGTGACTATGAACCATGCTGCATCTATTGTGGGGAATATGTTGATGATGTGGATGAAGATGATGAGATTTATCCCCAGTGCGGAAATTGTACACAAGATCCTGTCAGGAAACGAAAGTGACAGGTTATTCAAACAAAAAATGAAGTGGATGTGAACCTGATGTTAATATAAACGAGGACTTATAATATTTATAGATATTTGTTTTTGTCTTTATGCCATACATATTGTTTATGACAATATTGAATGCATTTGGTGGCACTGTTCATATTAGTTAAATGGCTTTAACACTAAATTTGTACAAAATATTTTTTTGTCAAAATTGCTCTTGTTTTTTCACCATTAAAAAATAATTATCCAAATAATGAATAATGAATAATGAAATTAACCCGCATTAATTTTCAAAAATCTTCGGACGGTATTCTATGACTTTCATTCCCATGGCCTTAGCAAGTGTTCACCTGTAGCACAGGGATATACAACCATGTCTCGCGCCGTTCACGAGTTAGGATCAGTGGTTAGGATTACGGAAACCATTTACTATTGTGGATTTTAAATATGAAAACTTGCAGCGAAACTGTATGTACTTTCAATTATTCAATAATTTGAATTACACATGACAATTAACTTTCCAACTTTTTTATACATTATAGCATTACAACCCGCACAATGTGTGAACAACCCGCACAATGTGTGAAGAAATTAAGTCTCGAGGTGTTTGTATACTGCTCAATGTGCCTGATTGATGACAGTAAATTGATTTGCTTGTGACGAAGTTAGGCAAGCTGGTGTGATATTTTATCTCCGTGGGAAGAGATTTTGTAATATATAACCATGTAAATGGTTAAGAAGTTGCTTTTATATTAGTGTTCTGTTACACCATGTACCTAGAGCTAAGTGAACAGGTGTAGGGATATTCAAGAGTTTGTCTGACGAAATTCATTGAATTCAATAAGTCAGACATGACGACATTCGTAGCAGCACCGTACAGTAGGAGGGACCAAGGCGAAGCAGTGATATAATGGAAATTACATCGTTTGGTATTTTGGTCATTCAGCGGCAGCATAAAGTGAATGAGGATTTCCTGAACAGCAAGCCATGTTATACGTAAACAACGAGTTTGAGTGTTTCATCAGGGGATCCAAATGAAACACGACAAACGAGTTGTTTACACAACATCTCGAACGAAAACATTTCATTGGCTTATATATATTATTATAGTATATTGTTGTGTTTTGACTTGAATTTGTAATTAGGATCTCAGTTATTCGATGAAAACCGTTTTTCATCTAACAACAGTGATGGTATATGATTTTTAGCGTGTTTCCTTGCGGTATCCAACCTCAATCATGTGACGAATTAGGGCAAGTTCATTCGCTAATTTGCTCATGAATTATTAATGAGTTCGAGATGTTACGCGTCAAGGTCATGTTACGTGTTGTGAATGCGATTTCTCTGGAGCAATTTCGCGCCAATTTTACCAAAGACATTTTGTGTGAGAAGATACCAAACGATGATTTATGTAGACTACATTGTACCAACACTGGAATCCTAATAAATCAAATTAAACATAGCCTGCTCGCAGCCTGGAATTAATACACCAAGACGCAGAAATTACATCAGTACGCAGCGCGGCTTGCTTGAAGCAAAGTAAAGCCAAGATTCCCGTGGAAATATCAAACCCCTGATGCTCGGATATCGACCAGCGAAATAATCATCTGTACGAAAGACGCCTGATCCTATTCAAGGTGGACAAGTGAGCTTGACAGCTGTGTTAGCCTGGTGCATTCGAGAGATTACAGAATAATGGTGGAGAATTGAATTTCAGCTTGAAGTTGGATGGCCGTCCGTTTTGGGGTAAAAACTTTATCTATTAATCTATTAAACAGACTATAGTATTGCATGCAGTCGGGAATTTTTCACAACACTAATACCACCAAACTCCAGGTTATATATTTCTGATAATTTAATATTTAATATTGACCGCCCACGCCAGCACGCCCTCTCACACCTGGGGGATGGCAATGTAGCAAAAACCTCTAGCATTTCAAAGTTTCAATGACTTTCATAGTGACAGGTTGTCAAGATTTAATGACTTTTAGATAGCTGGTTTAAACTAAGATGTGTTACTGAGTAATAATAAAACCATAAAGATAACTCATGTTTACTATAAATAATAATTTTACATGTAGTATAATACTGTTTTAGGAGTATTTCATTAAAGCATAAAGCATACATTATTCACTTGTAGCAAGAGCCTCCAAGTTGTCAAGATTTTCAATGTCTTTGGGCAACAGGTTGTCAAGACTTCAATGTCTTTAGGCAGCTGGTTTGAACTATGGTGCGTTATATATACTAATAATAAAAACCTATTAAAGATAAGTCCTGTTATAATAAATTATGCACTTGCAGAAAGAGCCTCCAAGTTGTCAAGATTTTCAATGTCTTTGGGCAACTGGTTGTCAAGACTTCAATGTCTTTAGGCAGCTGGTTTGAACTATGGTGCGTTATATATACTAATAATAAAAACCTATTAAAGATAAGTCATGTTATAATAAATTATGCACTTGCAGAAAGAGCCTCCAAGTTGTCAAGATTTTCAATGTCTTTGGGCAACTGGTTGTTTTAAAAACTCAATGTCTTTAGGCAGCTGGTTTGAACTATGGTGCGTTATATATACTAATAATAAAAACCTGTTAAAGATAAGTCATGTTATAATAAAGTAGCAATTGTAGAAAGAGCCTCCAAGTTGTCAAGATTTTCAATGTCTTTGGGCAACAGGTTGTCAAGACTTCAATGTCTTTAGGCAGCTGGTTTGAACTATGGGCCGTTATATATACTTAACTTCGTCATGTTTATTTTAAATTATAATTTTGTGGAAATATTTTAAAATAATTATGTACCAGTATTAACAGTCCCCAACGGTTTTCAAATTCTTCAATCAGCAGCTAGTAGTTCAAGTTCTAGGACGACTGTGTGTCATCTAAGGCTTGTGAAGATAACTTCAGACTGTTTAATGTTAAATTACATTGTATCAAATTAAGGACAAGTACTGTAGCAAGTACCTCCAATTAAGTTAAATCCACATTTTAAAAGTTTCTGGACAAAAGAATGCAAAGATTTCATTTTGATATTGTGAAAACTTCAGTGTTGCATTACCCTCCCCCATCTTCAGTGCATCCTACTTTGTTATTTTGGTATGTTAACAGCGGAGGATTGTCGCGTGCATGTAATTATGCATAACATGTACGGTCTTGAAAACAATGTATTCAACTAACAAATTTAAAGTGCTTAATTTTATCACATTTGCACTTGGCCTCTTTCACATAATTAATGCAAAACCCCCAATATGAAATCTAATATATCTTCTCAGGAAAAACTTCATCTTCATGATCCGGTTTTGCTTTAAAATTTATGTTTACAGTAAATTGTACAGTCTTTTACTATAATTTGTAAAACTAATAATTGATAAAATAATTGGTAAAATCAGTGAAGGCAATTCTAAAAAACATTGAATTGTCTTCACAGTGTTGTTGTTTGGTTTTTCCTCTATCTTATCGTATGCATGTGAGTAATATTAAATCCCTTTAATTGCATGAATTGAAATGCACGATTTGAAGATTTGAAGTAGCTTGTACCATCATTTATCCAACGTTTTCCTGCAGGCGGAGTGTATTAAAGCCAGAAGCGTGCCGCCAACTGTCGCTTTTGATGCGGTAGACTAGGATAATAAGTCCGCATCTCACAAAAACACTACCATATATAGAAACTATATAGAAAGTATAATGCTACACCTACAGACTAAGGCCTGTTTTATATGTCGAATTTTGGTTGCGTCGAATGCAATTCAAACAATAGATATCATCTCATCTATTGTCATTGCGTTCGACGCAAACAAAGTTAATTATGCAGTAAACTTTTGCTCAGAGAGAGTACGTTTCCACGTTTACCAAAAGTGAAAGCTTAGGCCAAGTTATAGATTGTGTAAATAGTACGGGCATGTGTCACATTCAAATTAAACATACAAATTAATAAATAACCGGAAAATGAAACTAAACCGCAATCATATTTCAGAATCACACACTGAGATGTAGTTGATTGGTGACGGGTGAAGGTGTCTTGCAACTATAGGTCGCAACGGGAACTGCACTTTCAAAGCGCAGTTCCTGCTGTGATTTTAAGCGTGTGGGTTGTAATGCGCAAAAAGAAAAGCTACAAACTCAGAGCAGATGCTGGATTATCCGATAGGCTGACGATTTATTTTGAACCGGCGAATCCAGATAAAAGAACTTGTCATCAAAAGAAATGGTTCGACAAACAGAGTAACTAAATAGTGCTGTCCAGCGTATTACCTAACACTAATAGCAGTAATTTAATATGGCCATGCATTTATTTATACTATATAGTCTCACTGTTAGACTTAGTGATTTATAGTATATAAAAAAGGAATCCTTTAGAAATTCACTATGCTGAACACAAAAATTGAATTTTTAATTACCAGGAGCAATATATATTGTGCTTAACAACAATAGATTAATTTCTAAAGGTCTCCTTTTTATGACAGACCTTATATTGAGTTTCTATCGAGTCATACAGATCTAAGCATTGCATGCGTGCATATATACAAAATGTTTGTTAAAAAAGAAGTGTTTTTCTTTGTGTGTGACTCTGTAAGATCTGATCTTCGTCAAAGCTAAAATGAAAATTTATTTGTTTAACATTTTTAATAAAATTGTACATAATTTTATTTTGTCTTGGGAGATGCACAGTATGTTATTTTTACATTACTTTGCTAGTTCGTTCCTATACAGGCTATAAACACTTCCCAAATTACTGGTTGACAATGAAAACTCTATCTAATGAGTAATGTACTATAATATTAATATTATTAAATATAAATTGGATGTCTGCCTCTATTTCAACCTATATTGTTTCGTGTGCACTCAAGCAAATTCGGCAAGTGTCTGTTGTGCTTTATTATTATTTGCGTGCTTTATTATTAGTGTCTGTTGTGCTTTATTTTTATTTTATTTTAATTTCTTTTCTTTAATTTTTTTCTTTAACTCATTATTTAATTCTTGATTGAGTCGGTTGTCGGTTTTCTTTCCTAGGTAACAGACAAAACATTCAAAACTTTAATGGAAAACCTCCTCAATCAAGAATTAAATATGATAAATACCTCGAAAGTCGGGATTTTAGTCAGATAATGGCGTAATGCCCTCGGACGTAATGCCCTCGTTTTGATGGAATTTTACGATGCATGCAGATACATCTAGTAAATAGTTATTAATTTTGCCAATAATTTTGCAGCAAGTTTCATTACCATTCGGCCCATTCGAATTGTATGCGTTCTTAATTGCAATCAATAAATGTAACTTGTAACTTTGTAACTAAGTTACAAATATGATATTTGTGAATGTTACTCTGAGTGTATATCCACACCGGGCGAGCTTGAAAAATATGCCCGGCCACTGTGGGATTCGAACCTACGACCTTTGGAATACTAGCCCACGTAGCTCAGTTGCAAGAGCATTGGGCTAGTATTCCAAAGGTCGTAGGTTCGAATCCCACCGTGGCCGGGCATATTTTTCAAGCTCGGCCGGTGTGGGTATACACTCAGAGTAACATACACAAATATCATATTCACCTTAGTACACAACACCAACACAGAAAAATTACAAAGAATATATTGTAACTTTGTAACTGTAACTAGTTACACTTTGGCATCTGTAACTTGTATCGGTAACTAGTTATGTTTTTGGTAATGTAACTATAACTGTAACTAGTTAGAAATAAACTGTAACTGTTGCAGCACGGCTTACATGCATGGAATAACCATAAGTGTAAGTGCTACAAAATTTCATTCTATACCGATTTAGTGCATTAAATTGACACTGTATAAAATGTTGTCTTGTCATTTGTTAGCAGTAAGTTGTAACCTGTCATTGTGTGATATCAGTCCGAAATTTAACTACCATACAAATGCACAGTAATAACTAATTGAGTGAATATTTTAAACTTTGTCCAGTACTAGTGGTTTCACAAAGACGTACATGACTATTTTGTAATAAACGTTTGTACCAGCCAGTAGATAAATTTGAAAAGTCATTTCCTCTAAGTCATTAACAATTTATCTTAACGCTTTTTCAAACAATATTTCCCAATGCTCTGTCGCATTTACTAACACACCCCACAGATATACTTTTGATTTAATGAATCTATAGGCACCTGTTGTCATGCATGTGAACTATTGACATTGTGTCCTTAGTTAAGTTCATAACGACAAGTGCAACACTTTGTAGAGGTTCATAACCAGTGGTCTAACCAAGGGGGGCGGCCACCCTCCAATCGGCACAAACACCATTCTCTGAAAAAGGCTAAATCCATAGAGAAATTGGGAGGGGGGTACACGTTGCATGCTCAAAGCTGAAACTGATTAAGTATGTCTCGACTTAGGAAAACGATGGTATATTGGAGGAACTTGATTTGTAAAATCTCATTAAAGCAGTTGTAGATTTGGTTCCAAGAAGAATAGATTTAGTTTAAATTTACATGTATCCATGAATCTTCTTCTCAGTCTTATTCTGTATTGTATAAAAAAGCAAAACAATTTTGAGAATGCGAAAATGGTGTTGCATAGAACTTAGAATGATTTAAATTCACAAAATCATATTGGGATTTTCTCCCTTAGCATCACAGAGGGGTAAAATAATTTGGCACTGACCCCTCCTGTTTTACAAGGTGACTTTTCCAACTTATTTCATTTAAAAGTAGAAATTTCTGGGAAAATTTATGTTTTCCATGTACTTTACAATCTTCGAAATTCTAAAAGATTTCACCCCCAAAATGCATGAAAATCGCATTTCAGTGACACTAGATATCAAATTTTCACAGGGATGCATGCCTCCGGACCCCCTTACCTAAGGTTTGCCTACGCCACTGTCCATAATTTGGGTTACTGGGAATGATTGACATAAATATGGGTTTAATCCATACACTATGATTTATAAACAAATACAGTTGTACTTGGTTGAGTTTAAATAAAACTCAAGGAAAGATGCGACAAATGCATGAAAATCGCATTTCAGTGACATTAGATATCAAATTTTCACAGGGATGCATGCCCCCGGACCCCCTTATATAAGGTTTGCCTATGTCACTGTCCATAATTTGGGTTACTGGGAATGATTGACATAAATATGGGTATAATCCATACACTATGATTTATAAACAAATACAGTTGTACTTGGTCGAGTTTAAATAAAACTCAAGGAAAGATGCGATACAACTTTTGATTGAGTATTCATCTAAAAATATCCAAGAAGATTGCATTTTCCCCTTTTCTAGACATTTTTCTGCTACTTCGAGTCAGTGATTCATTGCGACAGATATTTATAGACTTTAAACCTTTTATTTAGTGAAGTGAAGGTTTTTTATTATTTACCATTGTGCACCTGTGCATGTCAGCCATTAATTCAACTGGTTTTTTATTTTGCTCACCTTGACATAAATCCTACACTCTTTAAAAATCACAATGCAATATAACACAGCAAAATTGTATATATATTACTTAATTACTTAGTTTCTTATATGATCAGTCCATCATTCCGCAAAATAACTTAATGATTTAATTGAACTGTAACTTAGATTTAGTTTTGTAAAGCGCTTAGAACATTTTGGTATAGGGTAGGGAAGGCTAAGGTCGTTAAGGAAGGCTAGGGGATGGCTAGGGAAGGCTAAGGTCATTAAGGAAAGCTAGGGAAGGTTAAGGAACGCTAAGGAATGCTAGGTTAAGTAATGGTTTGGGTATTTCAGTTGTTCATACATCGGGAAAGCGACGATTATGGATTACAGGACCATTTCTAGAGTATAGTGTAGGTTAACTGAAATGCACACTGATTGAGCTGTGATTTATAACACAAGATTTTTCAGTTTATAATACTATTATAAATCTAAGATGAAACACATTCCGAATATTATCTTTTAAACTCAAGATTCTAGTGTAATATTTTGAATTACATTTCAAAGAGATTGTCAGGTAGAAATATTACCTACTCCTAGGTTTTAATTTTGCCATCTTGTTTAATTAAATAGCTCGAATCTTGAGTTCACAAGATGTTAATTTTCAGAGTGTTTGATCTTACTACTATATAGCATATTAGATAAAATACAGTGTGACTTGTTATAAATACACTACGGTATATCTGTTATTGTATGAGGAAACATGTCTGGTATAATATTCTTGTAGTTTTGTTGAACTTTTCTTCAGACATGCAAAGTAAAAAAAACTTTTATTCGTAAATAAATTTTTAAAATCCCAAACGTTTCGCCGATCAAGGCTTCTTCAGTGGGAAACTAGTTAAAAGTCATATAATGTCCCTATATATATGCAAGTCCGTCAATACTCAATAGCCAAAATTACAATATATAAAACTAATTAGAGATAAAACGACTGTCTTGATTACATGTACAGGATTAAAAAAAATTTCAATTAATTATATATACAAGGTTTAAGAAAATTAAAATACTAATTGTATAAAAGTGTTCTCCCAGTACAGCCATTCATAATTTTGTCAGCATTGTTTCGTATTTCGACTGCTTCAATGTACTTTTGCTCCTCTTGGTTGCGGATATGTGTATGTAAAAGTTTCCAACTTATTTTAGCATCCTCAGGTCTCTGATTGTGGTAAATTAAGTGTCTGTATACGGTCTGCTTATCCATTGATAAGTGTTCTTTAATGCTTTGGCCTATTCTACCTGTCTCGCCGATGTATATAATATCGCAGGTTGTGCATGTAATTTGGTAGACCACATTCTTTGCTAAGCACTGGTTACGCTTCGATGCTAATTTACACGTTACGCATTTGTCAGGACAATTTGGTTTATTTCTTGGTGGTGCGAACACTTTAGCCAATGGTCTGCCATTCTCAAAATAAATTTTAATGTTTGCTATACCTGAACGGCATATGACACCCAATGCCCATCGTTTAAGTTCTTCATTAATGAAGGGCATTTTAATGTAAATAGTTTTTTGTTGTTCGTCGTCTTCATTTCGAGTGGTGGTAGTTACACGTGACGCATTTCGAATGGTCGTTCTTACCATTTCTCTGGGGTACCCATTGTTTAAAAACAATTCCGTCACTGTGCTTAACGATTTCCTTCGAGCTTGTTGGTTGGAAGAGCAATAGATGGCTCGCTTGATTTTGCCAATAAGTATCGCTCTTTTTGATGCTATCGAACCGTGGCTGCCCCAGGGTATAATACAGCCACTGTGTATGGGTTTCCTATACAGGCATGTAGAAAACGTTTTTGTATCCAAGTTAAAAGTGACTAATGTGTCGAGAAATGACAATTGGTTGTTATTGGGTAGTTCCAGTGTATACATACAATTAGTATTTTAATTTTCTTAAACCTTGTATATATAATTAATTTAAAATTTTTTTAATCCTGTACATGTAATCAAGACAGTCGTTTTATCTCTAATTAGTTTTATATATTGTAATTTTGGTTATTGAGTATTGACGGACTTGCATATATGTAGGGACATTATATGACTTTTAACTAGTTTCCCACTGAAGAAGCCTTGATCGGCGAAACGTTTGGGATTTAAAACTTTATTTACGAATAAAAGTTTTTTTACTTTGTATGTCTGAAGAAAAGTTCAACAAAACGACAAGAATATATATATATATATATATATTTGAAAAACTTCAAATGCCTCAGAGTTCAGTAAATATTGTAAAATTCCCATAGTCATAGACTAAACTGATCAGTTCTTCTTTCGATTATTTACAAATTATCCACCAATTATTTTATCAAGTTAGACACAATTTGTAAATAATGAAATATAATAGAGACAGTGGCTATATTACTTTTTTACAAATGGAGCTCTATGGTATATGGGCATAAAATAATGGTAACTATGAAAATAAGCATTTTAATATTCAAATGAAAAAAAGTGTTAAATTGATTTTTTTAAGTTTCAAATTTTAATATTCAGTTTAATATTTGAATATTAAAATGTTTATTTTCCGAGTTACCGTTGTTTTATATTTTATTAAAAGTCATTCCCGTAATTTTTATATTAGCATATATATTGACCCTATATAGTTTTTGTTTGATATACTCATGGAGTTTCATGTATTTTTAAAGTTTCACAAAATCGCCAACATAGAACGTGAATTGAAGGATGCCATTGCCCATTAGCTCAATGGCCCATTGAGCTAATGGGCATGAGCATGACACATTCATTTTGGGATCATTTGGATTGCAAAATCAGGCTGCATATGGAAAAGCAAGAGAAGCCGGTAAGTTTTGTATTTGGACGTAGACATATTTTGTATGATCAGAAGTTAAATAAAGTACTTGTGTGCAGAAACGTATGCTGTAGCAGAGTTTTTCATTGTATGGTTTGAGTTACGGTGATACATTCGGGCCTTCGTTCGAAACGTCGAGTTTCTGCTTGTTTATTTCAGCTAGTAATATAACCACTCAGCACAGCAATCGCTGTTTTCAACATGACTATAATAAGCAATTATTGGATGAGGCTGAGCATGATATCAAGAATTATTCAGACGGAGGTCAATGTTATCTGCCGAAGCGAAGCTGAGGCTAGTGCTGTGCAAACTCCGGTTTTTCATCTCCGGCTCCGGCTCCGGCCGAATTACAGCTCTGAGCTCCGGCTCCGGCCACATCATAAAATATTAAATAAATGTTTTACGATCAGAGAACATTTATTAATATTATTATGAATAACCCTTTTCGCGCTTCCTAATTATCAGATAACGTAACTCAGGAAACAAAAGAGTGAAAACACTTAACCAGGCAGAAAATATCTATATGCATGGAAACCAGCCTCGAAAAATCTTTGACGCGAGGCATGACGCTAACACTCTCAGACTACACAGCGCAATTGTTCGCATGCAAACAAAGTACTCTGTCATTTTCAAAAGGTTGATATTTATTTGTTTTGTACTTTTTCGTTATCTACAAGGCATGAATACACAGACTACAGTATGTAGCGCTAAGTCAGATGGCTTCATGAAAGCATGACGTTTGTAAGTTGCAATCGTATTACAGCTTTTCGACGCTGTTCCTGTGGGCTGTAGCAGTTTGAGTCTATGATGAATTCATTAACAGCAATTGGCAGTTTGCAGTAACTAACAATCATTTGACATTTGTCTCATTTCATATTGTTTTCTTGTCATTTTGCCGGAGCTGGGAAAACATAACTCCGGCTCCGGGCTCCGGCATACAAAATTCTGCTCCGGCGGAGCTCCGGAGCAGAACTCCGGCAGAACTCCGGCTCCGGCAACTCCGGCGCACAGCACTAGCTGAGGTGGATAACATAGACCGAGATCTGAATAATTCTTGATATCATGCGAAAACCGAATCCAATAATTGTTTTATTATACATTTAAAGACATGAGAAACATATAAAACGATTCCTGTTCATGAGGTAGGAAAAGTACAATTTGAATATCGAACACCTTGCACAAAGTCAAAGGTCAGCTAAATATTCTACTTCTATTTACCCCTTTGTGGCTTTTTTCGTGCTTTCACTATCCTTATCTGCCAATAATTTGGAGAGTTCACTTTCATTCAGCGAAGCAAATCTGCTGTAGGCCATTGTTTGTTTGTTTTTTCGCGCGCTTATAGGTCAAGCTTTTGGCCTCGCAAGGGCTTGGGCACGAGAGAGTCCAATAATATTTTTTTTGGATGCAAGTTCGATCCAAAAAAACAATTATTGGACGCTGATGACGTCATCGGCGGAAAATACGTAATAAATGCCGAATACTGAAAATTAGCCGGTGCTTTCTGACCAATTAGAAACGAGAATACATATTAAATGTATAATAATCTTCATTATTATGCTTACGTCTATAATGTTGACTACGTTTTAAGTCAGTGAAATATAAGTGCGATTCACTTATACTTTTGTTGTGCATTCTGATGTTGATTGTGATGAGTCTTTGACTGTGCACAAGTATATTAAGAGGACGAACTAAAAATCAAAAAGGAACAGGACTCAAAGAATAAACAATAACAATATAAATCATTTTAATGTAATCTTTAATACATCATCAAGAAAATATACTTAATCCACTACCTAAAAAGTCTGCTATTGTTTTACTGTCTCTCCCTCTAAGACAAACCCTTACTGTTCTACTGTTCTTTTACTGTTTTGAATTTGAATTTATTTGAATTTGAATTTATGAATTTTGAATTTATTGAATTAGTTATCAGCTTTATAGTGACAACAGGAGAAAGAAACAGGGCAAAGCCCCAATTGACATCAAACCCCTGATGGCTAAAAAACATGATAAAATATTAAATTAGTGGAATATTATTACAGTAATTAGTCTAAAATTAGTTAAGTACGTCTTTCGTCTGGAAGAATATAAGAATCAAGTTTCATCGTATAATAGTCTGAGATAGCTTTTTTAAAAGTTACGAAGTTTGTGAACTTTTGATATCTAGTGGTAGTGACTTCCAGGTGGAAACGACACGGTGGAAATAGGAGTATTTTAGGTAATTTTGAGTTGCTCGCTGTGTGTTGTAATTAAGGGAGGAAAAGTTACAGGTAATTACCCGATGTTGGGCAGAGCACTGTTGTAGGGAGGTATGATTTAGAACTATTAAGCTTAGTCTGTGTTTGAATAAAAGAATCGTGTCTTTCGAATCTCTTCTATACTCCAAAGGTAACAAGGATAACTTAAGGAGGCGCTGTTTGTAATTGAGATCGTCACAATAATTTAATATAAATTTTGTAGCCCTGCGTTGCACGTTTTCCAATATCATCTGGTGTTTGATGGTGTATGGTGACCAGAGTTCACTTGCATATTCCATTATGGGGCGTACAATTTGGCAATATAGGAGTTTGCAGGTTTCGGAATCCAGAAAATCCCTGCACAATCTTTTCACGAGACCCAAAGTGCGATTGGCTCGTTTGGATATCTGAGCGATATGCAAGGACCAGAGCAGCTTGTCATTGATGGAAATTCCCAAGTCAGTGATCTCTTTAACAGTGACCAATGATTCGTTATTAAGCTGGTAATTCCATACAGTAGGGGATTTCTTTTTGGAGATGTTTAGAGCTTTACATTTGGATGTATTGAAGTCCATATTCCAATCTTTACACCAGTCACAAAGACAGGAAAGGTCTTCTTGTAGAGCTTCAGAATCCGATAATTTTGAGATGGTCTTGTACAGTTTGGAGTCGTCAGCAAATAGGGCAATCTTGGACTTATTTTTAATGTACCCTGGCAGGTCATCTATATAAACCAGGAATAAGAGTGGCCCTAGAATAGAACCTTGTGGGACACCAGAATAAACTTCAAGACTTTCGGAATATAGTCCATGCAGGGTAACTCGTTGGTGTCTTCCAGAGAGGTAACTTTTAAACCAAAGTAATAAGTCGCCTGTTATGCCGAAGAGAGGTAATTTTCTGATAAGAGAAGAGTGTGGCACTTTATCAAAAGCTTTGCTAAAGTCCAACTAGATTATGTCCGTTTCTTTACCTTCAGCCAGGCCTTCAGTGATATCTTGATAAACCGCAAGAAGTTGAGTAACGGTAGATCTTCCTTTCAAGAAGCCATGTTGCATACGATACAATTGGGAGATATGTGGGCAAGACAGTGATTGTGAACACACCTTTCCAAAGTTTTTGAGAGGAGACTTAATAGAGAAATAGGTCTGTAATTGTTAACTAGTGATGGATCATCATTTTTAAAAACTGGGGTCACGTCTGCTAACTTTCATCGATCTGGGAACATACCTAATGATAGAGATAGGTTGAATAGGCGGCAAAGACAGCAAGCGATTTGTGGAGCTATTTCGTTGAGAAGTCTGCCCGGGATCTTGTCTGGGCCTGAGGCTTTGCTTGGGTCAATGGTATTTAGTGCGTTTTCTACTTCCGATGCAGTAAGATGTATGTTTGGTAACAAGTTTTATGTGTTTATGCATGTAGGCAAAACAGAGGGGTTTGCATTGTCATCGGCTATATTAAATACAGACTGAAAGTAACCATTGAACAAATCAGCCATGTCTTTAGGCGCAGAAACAAAGCGTTGCCCTTCTCTTAAGAAACAGGGAGATCGGTTTTGATTGGTAATAGTTTTAACGTATGACCAGAAACGTTTGGGGTTTTCACGTATTGAGTCTTTAAGTTTTAGAGCATAGAGTTTCTTTTTCTGTTTGATCATTGTCTTAGTGGAACGACGCGTCCGCTAAAATCTCATAAAATCTTCGAGTCTGCCGGAGTTAGATGCAATAGTTCTGTGTATGTTTTTACGCTTAAGTAGTTTCAGCAACTCGTGATCAAGCCAAGGGTCATCATTAACATTTCTAGCTTTACAAATAGGGATATGCAAATCCACAGCTGAGAGAAACATGGCAGTCCAATTAGAATGAGATTCATGTACGTCATCGTCGACAAAGAATAGATCCCAGGGGACAGTTTTGAGAGTTTGTTTGAGACCTTGCCAATCTGCCTTTTTAAAGTTGTAAACATGGCATTCAGACTTTAACTTTTTAGCAATTCGTAAATTTATGCAAAATTTGACAAGTTTATGGTTGGTGACTAATATGTCTTGAGAGCGTTCGATCTTAGTTAGTTTCTCAGGGATACTTGTCAGTATTAAATCCAAAATATAATTCTCTCGCATGGGAAAGTCTATAACCTGCCAGAGGAAATAGTCATTGATTATTTTAATAAAATGAGAGTAGATAGGGTTTTCAGTAGTAGCATTATATTAATCCAGCTGATATTAGGTAAATTGAAATCACCCGCAATTACTTTATTATCGAATTTTGCCTTTGAAGCCAAGCGTAAAGATTTGGTGAATTCTTTAAGATAAGGTAGGTCGGAGCTTGGGGGTCGATAGAAAACTACCAAAAGTACCTTTTTCTTGCCAGATGGTCGTTCACAAGCAAGAATTTCTGCCGCGCTTTCGAGATCAAGTCTTCTGAAACTAGCAATACTATTACAGCCAGCTAACATCACACCACCACCACCTCCCTTCAGTGAATAGTAAAATCCGAGTTCTTTGAGTGAGAAATTTATGGATGCAAGTAAACCAGCTAGGCATACGCCCACAAGTCTCAAAAGCATCCTTATTTATACAAGAACAGGATTGAGCATCATCAAGATCATTTGGTGTGTGCTTAACATCGAAGTAGGACATACATAAAATAAATAAGACAAATAACGGAGCCACAAATTTCACGTCCGCCATGATTGAATGCTTTAC